CCTTCAGAAACAATAGCAGGCATCAGCACAGACACAGTAACAGAGAAAAGGACTACAGAGGTGAGATTTGTTTGCCCACCTGAGGCAGATAGCTATTTCCTTATCAGAGCACCGGTTCACAAAGATGTATGCCAAGATCAGCTAGTTAGGCACTAGTGTATCAGGGCAGGAGAACCTCGGTGCTTTACATTAGGGATCTTACTCATTCTAGGAGCACCAGTTTTTTTATAGGTATCTTAGTCCTTTCCGTTATATTGCATAATATTTCTGTGGTAAGTGCTGAGATTCTCAGCTAGAAAAGCAGCTGTGGGAAGCAGTGTTTCAGCTGGTCCTGACACGGTATAGAAGTGGGAAACGGAAGCCAGTCCCACTTGGCCTATGGGGGAATACTCTCAGGTGCTCCCTGGAGACAGTTTCAAAAGCTCTCCTGCAACCAGCAAAGGCAGGAGAAGAGGAGGCCATCTCTTCCCCTTTTGGTGGTACAAAGCTAGAGGGTCCGAGATATCTTCTGGTCACTGCCACTCTAGGGAGATGGGGACTCCCCTGTACACAGCACCCTTGGGTGCCAGGCCTTCCCTCTCTTTAGGGCACACAGCTGGGCCAGGCCGGGTAAACGGAGCAGAGCCACACGTTACCATGAAGGTTGTCACATCCCCCTCCTTTGTTGACCGCTTCCATTCCTCCACTTTAAAGTGCTTGAAGACGTTCAGGTAGGGGTTCTGCCATACTGCCGAGACAGGGACGAGGGAGCCCTGCAGACGCCCGGCTCCAGGGGCGAGCTCCTCAGCTTGGCTCTCACCAGTGACCCTGTCAGCCCCCGCCATTCCCTCCCTGCGGGTCCTCCTCCAGTTGCCCCCCGTGTCACTCACCCTCCTAAGCTCCTCGGGGGAGCGCCTCGCCCCATTTTCCCTCCGGGGACCTCCACAGTCACTTCCAGCCCAGTGGCGCCCTGTCATCCTCCCAGCTCCACAGGGGAGCCCCTCACCCCAGCTTTTCTCCCCGGTGACACCCCCGTTACCCCCTGTCCTGAGGCCCCTCGTTACCTCTTGCCCTAGTGACACCCCTGTTACCCCTCTTCCCCAGTAACACCTCCCCTTACCCCCTGTCTTGGTGACACCTCTCTGTTACCCACCTCTCCCAGTGACACCCTCT